CTTGGTAAAAATCAAAGTAAAAAAATTTTGAAGCTTCACAACTAAAAACTATTAGAGTGCCTTGGAATTATTTACTAAGGATTTGTAGAGGATGTAATTGATGGATTTAATTCAAGCTTAGTTACGTTGTGATCGGATTGAAATTAACAAAGTTGTGAGGCGAAATATGTGTCAATGTCATTGTAGAGGAAATCAAGTTTCCGAAAAATTACATTGAGGGACGTTTTTTTGTATGTAGAAAATGTTTCAGGTATTGGATAGAAATTTTGCAAGTGGATAAAAGAAAATATTGAAATTTTGGAAAAAAATTAATTTTCTTCCGACTTCTAGGAACCAACCATCTAGGAATTCTTTGCGAAAACTGTGGGGAATTTAGAGACATTTGTGGGGAATTTATGGGAAATTAGAGGAATGTTTGAGAAATTGGGAAAATTTATTGGTTTAACACTGAATGTAATAAAAATAGAAAAATACATTTCTTATCACATCACAAACAATTTTGAGGATTTTTATGGAATTTGTATTGGGCATTTGCAGGGAACTTCCGAGCAGTTTGTAGGAATTTGAAGGAAATTTGGAGGAATTTGTAGGAAATTTGGAGGAATTTGTTTACACATATTTGGGGGGGTCGTTAACCCCTTGCATAAAATTGAACAAAGAGGAGATCTGATAGAAGCATACAAGTGGACGACTTTATACTACAAAACCGATATATTTTTAGAATCAGCAACTCAAGGGCACTTAAAAAAGTTAACAAATATAAAGAAAAAATCAATCACATGACTGAAAACGCCTCTCATTGGCTAAAGCAGATATTGATGCTATTAGAAATGGGAAATTTCCATTCAAGGGAGTGTTAGCATGGATGCCAGGACACCTATTACTAGTTATAGCCTATTTCATTGCAGTTCATAGCTCCAATTGAGGTTTAGGACCATAAAACCATTGTAAACCATAACTTTATGGTCGTAAACCTCGATTTGAGCTATCAACTGTAATGAAATCGACTATAAATACATATTGTCAAATGAATGTACTCTGGCATTTTATGTAATAATTAATAATCGAGTTAATAATGTAACAAATATATACCAATTTCAATGCAATAGAAAATGTCTAGGAAAAGCGAAGGGTGTTTCACCCACTAAATTTTGTACACCTACTGTATTTGTATTGGACTGCATTGATTGCTTCAAAGATGATAGTTGACTGCATTGATTTTTGAGCAATATCTAACAAGATTGCAGGCTCTACTTGCAGCAACTGCTTACGATTTTTTTGCAAGTGTATATGGAATGTAGCCTACTGCGTGTGACTGTATTATGACTGCATAAGTACATGTTTTCCATCGACTGCATGAGAATGTATGGACTGCATAGTGCATATACATGAATGTATGAAATTTGTACACCTACTGTATGAGTGAAACACCCCTCGAGAAAAAGTCTAATGTTACCCAAGTAACAATCCGACATCATTTGACGTAATATTACGTTAAAAATGTTCTACCTGGCGTCGGCATGCGATGTCCGTATGACTTCTTGACGACCAAAATTCGACTAAAATGGGGAATGAAACTTTAGTCGATTCGACGTCGGAATACGACTTTGAGTCCTTAAGCCAACCCAAACACTACGTAATTTGACGTAGGGAATGCTATACCATTTCCGACTTGAAAAGTCGGGAATATCTAATTATTTATACCTGAACTGTACTATTTTAAAAATTGGTCTACATATTTTTCCCTATTTTCTACCAAATGTGGATATATTATTTTGGAACCATAACTAACAACACAAAGTGACATCAACTATTTTATTTCATTGTAATATATAGGTTCTTGTAAATTTTTAGTGCATTTCACAAGTTCCTCTGGTCAAAATTCATAAACGCAGGTGACTTTATTGATAAAAATAACTAACGTAGGACTAAAAACACAATCGCCTCCCCAATAATTAGTGAAATTTAGAAAAATATCAATTTTTGTTTAATTTCCCAATTTTAATTTTTTGTTTAATATGGGCTGAAGGATACTTGTGAAGCTCCTATTTGATGAACAATTGTGAAAAACACACTTATGAAGGACTAATTTTGCCCATGTTCACTGTAAAATTGAAATTAATCTAAAATATCAACAAGGGCTATGCATAACCTTTGGTCAGATAAATAATCCCTAGTTTTCACCTGCGGCGACCTTTAGTCGAAATATGTAGATTTTTTCATACGAAAACTGTTCATAAAAATAATCGCGACACCTATACTACCTTTTACGGACAACAGGTGAAGCTTAATTTATTTATAGATATGTAAATAATAAATAAATAAATAAATAAATAAATATCGCCTTTATTCAATATTAAGAACAGAAAAAAAAAAATCGTTAAGATACATTCCCATACAAAGAAGAACAATAGTATTAGTAAATATAAATTAACATAATAGGGGATGCAAACTCTAGCATGGCGAAGTCTAGCTTGAAAGCTACTCAAACTCAACCATATCTAGTGATATGCATACACCCCACATATTAATGAAATGTACCATCATAATATTCCCTAAAAAACTAAACAGTATATCTAAAAAAAAAAGCGCAAATATGAGTAAATATTCAAATTTAAATATTTAACTATACATTACGTTGGAATTTTAACCAATAATATAAATAGTTTTAAGATAGTCCCGAGACACCAGCGCACCACCCTCTAGTAAGCCATCAGCAACTAAATTAGGTGAGGGAATTAACCTGCTCATTAAACAATATAGAACGGTATTCACGGTTGAAACTTGTGATATTATGTTCCTTTAAGCCATGTGGAAGAGAATTATAAAGCTTAATAGCATTATAAATAAAACCCCTTTGAAATAAGGAGGTTTTGTGTTGTGGAATTGTAAATGTCTTGTTTGATCTGATGTTCCTATTATGTACATTATTGCGGGGAATAAACTTATTCTTAAGTAACACAGAAGCATGAGGGGAGGTGAACAATGAATGAAGAAAATTTCCAAAATGATGAGTTCTCCGATTATCCATGTTGAGCCAGTTGCAGTGAACAATCTTATGAGAGATCCGATCATACTTTCTGAGACCGTAAAGAAGTCTACAGCAAGAGTTTTGAATTTTTTGTATCCTATATCGATCCAGTGCGTACAAAAAATTATCATAAATGAAATCACAGTAACTGAATCGTGACAGCACCAAACACACAACATCCGTTTCAATTGACGACTTAAAATATCTCGATTGGAATAAATAAGCTTGAGAGCACAATATGCCTTGCTCATGACACTTTTAATATGTTCTTGGAATCGCAACTCTTCATCAATAATAAGTCCAAGATTACGCGCAGAAGACACAAACGGTAGAGGTACGTTATCTATATGAATAAACAGGTTATTCTTGACAAAATTACGACCTTTGGCACTGCCGAAACAGATAAGATTAGATTTTTTAGAATTTAAAATCAAATTGTGCTCCAAGGACAATAATTTTATGTTTTGGAGCTCTCTGTTAATTAATTCTTCAGCCTCAAGAATATTAGCCAGCTTAAAAGAAAAATAAATTTGTGTGTCATCAGCATAGGCTATCACTCTACAATTTTTAACAGCCTTTATGATATCAGTTGTATATAAAATGAAGAGAAGTGGACCTAGTATTGAGCCTTGAGGAACCCCGGAGTAAACAGCAATCGGGTCAGAAGATATTCCACCAAGCTCAACCCTTTGAATACGCTGAGATAAGTAGGAACACATTAATTCAACCGAGGGAGGTTGAAAACCATAGAATTTTAATTTGGAACAAAGCAAACGATGATCAAGAGTGTCAAATGCTTTGGAGAAATCTAGAAGAACAAGAGCAGAGGCAAGCCCCTGATCAGAAGAATAGAATAAAATTTCTATTTATCAATACTAACAGTTAATGTCGACTACGACCAATAGAAAGGAGTTTTCAGTAAATATCGCGTTGATATGAAACTCAGGCTTTAATTGTATCAAATATCAGACACACAGTAGGTTTTCGGAAACACTGATCTGATTTACCCGATCATTGGAACTAAAATTTACGAAAATTAAAATAAACCTTAAAAAAAGTTGTGTCACTTTATTTTGTGTACATTGTTAGAGTTTAATCAATTTTGGCAAATTTACCGATGTCGAACAAACGTCTACGGAGAACTTAGTGCCGCATATTTAAATTTAGTCGAATGACAACGTCAGACCAACGTTGCCTTCTATACCAAAGCTTACCTAGCCATAATAGGTTACATGGCGATTTTGTAGCGACGTTCAAAGATAACTTTCAATATTTTAGTCAAGAAAGAACGTCACGCCGTTGGCAAATTACTTGTAAGCTACTTTAATTTTCGTAGACGGCTTGCGTGATCCAAGCATCGTTGCGCCGACATTGTACTGCAACTGAAGCTATGAAGTCGTAATACGACTAATATATGAATCTATTCTGACGTTGAAATAGGTGCAAGTAACGTTGGAAGACATAAAAATGTTACTTGGGTAATAGGAGAATGGAAATGATTCCCCCTGTTCCACCTCCAGCATTCCCAGCGCTTCATCTAAGGGTATAGAGATGTTTTTTGAATAACTAATACAATAATTTAATGTTTTCGAAAAATGTGAAATTGGCCTATTACAATGGCCAAAAATCATGGATTTTCAACATGTTTTTCCATAGTATCGACACCCCACCTTTACGGGTAGAAGAGGAGTGTATGAAAATGTAAATTAATGCATAATCATGCTTTTTCTCAAATAGAATGTCCTATAACTGGTTCCATATTCTTGAAGGGCACGGTTCCAAAATCTACAGTTGTATATCAAAATTTGTCAATATATTATTATTATACTGATTATATTCATTCATTAAACATTGAAACTAGATAAAACTGGGTTATCGATTGCGCTTATTTACATTTTATAAGCTAGATAACATACAATTGAATAATTTAATTAAGGATTTGGAAAGTGAAACCTTTTTATTTGCTTACCAATAGAAGAATTTCAATGTTGGCGCCCCAACATTTTGGCTGAGCTTTGAGATGGGCACCTCGACATCTTCTTGGGCCGATATATCGCTAACGTAGCATAGAAGCCCAATACAACTCAGCACTAGAAAACATGTGATGGAATTATTGAATTTACTCGGTACTGCCATTATTTTGAGAAAAATATTTGAAATTGTGGAAAATCTTGTGATTAGGATCAAAACAGAAATAAGAAGGTGATATTTGAAATTAGTTACATGACAAGATTGACAAATGACATTCGATTGAAATAAGAAAACAGAATGGCCAACATAAAATATGTGTTCAGTGTTGGAATCAGCTTGCTCAATCCGTGCACTCTAAGTACTCCGTAGGCACTCTGACCGTTCGGGTATTGCTTTTTAGTGGTATGGTAAGGGTATACTCTTTCACTCTGCTCTTACGTCTAAATTAATCCATGAGTGATACAAAAAAACTAATCTGGTTCTACTCTACTCCAACTCTGAGTTGAATAGCCAAACCCAGCTATTTTTTTTCTTAAATAAAACAAATGCAGGCGTTCCAATGTTGTGGATTTTATTTGTGAGAACGACGTAAAATTTCGTCTGGGTTGAGGGTATATTGGAGCATCAAGATCGTGCCAGTTCGTGTGCTCCAGACTCCAGAAACATCACACTGTTCGAAGAGCAATAAGAGCATTATCCACCGCACCTCGAGCAACTTTGGTTGGCGATTAGAACAAGCCTAGCTTAAGGTAAAACGAATCGGAACGAACCTCTTTCCCGACAATTGACAGATGACATTGACAAATTGAAATTTAAAGTTTCTTTTTGGGGCACACAGACAACACAGGGTGCTTATTAACAATTTTTTTTCGAAACTACAGTTAAATTCAAAGAAATTAATCATGGCTGCAAGAGCTAGTGCTTCCAGACGTCCCGTGGAACCAGAACAAACCATCGCCTACGTACAGGCCGACGGTTTGGTAAGTTTTCATATCCCAACCTCACACCAACCAAATCAACCTTTTTCCTGAGGTATTCTTCTTTTGATACCATATTTCTTATTTTAGGCTGTAATGAAAATTGTCAAACATTGCCACGAAGAATCCACAACCAACATGGACATAGCCCAAGGCGCTTTGCTTGGTTTGGTAGTTGAAAACCGTCTAGAAATCACCAACTGCTTCCCGTTTCCCAAACAAAGCGACGAAACCATGGACGAAGAAGAATACCAACTGGCAATGATGAGAAGACTCAGAAGAGTCAATGTTGATCATTTCCATGTTGGTTGGTACCAAAGCGCCGATGTAGGCAACTTTTTAAGCTTGCCTTTATTGGAATCCCAGTACCACTATCAAACATCCATTGAAGAATCTGTAGTGGTCATTTATGACACCCAAAAATCCTCCAGAGGATTTTTAACATTGAAGGCTTATCGTTTAACACCTCAAGCAATTGAGATGTACAAGGAAGGTGAATTCACCCCAGAAGCTTTACTGAAATTGAAAATTGGCTTCGAAAACTTGTTCACTGAAGTTCCATTCTACATCAAAAACTCTCCATTGACCAACATAATGATGTCAGAATTAGCTGAAATGGTTCCAGAAGAAGAAGGCTCTAAATTCTTAGATTTAGGCACTGCTACTGTCTTGGAAAACCAACTGAGATGCCTCATGGATCGTGTCGATGAACTGAATCAAGAGGCCATCAAATTCAACAGGTATCAGCAACTTGTTAGTCGCCAGCAGCAAGATAAGCACAGATATTTGCAAAAGAGGTCCCAGGAAAATGCCGCTAGAGCTGCTAAAGATGAGCCTGCACTGCCCGAAGAAGACATTAACAAGCTGTTCAGGCCTCATCCAGTGCCGCCAAGGTTGAACCCTATGATTATTGCCGGACAAATTAACACTTACAGTCAGGCTATTTCGCAGTTTTGCTCTCAGTCTTTGGCTAAGCTGTATATTACTCAAGCCCTGCAGAACGCCAAGGAATCTACTTCTAATAAGTGAAAGTATTTATTATTGGGATCAAATTGAATCTTATTTTTGGGAAATAAAGCAATTTGATTTAAAAAAAATTATTTATTATTCAAGGAGTTTTTAAATACTTGCATAGTTTTGTTTGTTTGTTAGTTGACAATGGTTTACTTACACAATTTTTCAAGAAATATGAGAGTTAACAGCTTCATCTAAAGGATTTTTATGGTCAGACATATTAGGCCTTAATTCATAGTTACAAATTGTAACTCCGTGACGGTGGGCTTCAAAGTATTCGCCTCTCAAGCCTATGTAATAAATTGTGGTATGCTCATCACCAAAATTGGTTGGAAAGTGAATTGAGAGATGGTTGACGTTGTTAAAAGTCACTACTCTGAAAAAAATTTGAAAAATTACGCCCCTTATCATTATTAATAAATTGCTTCTTGCCTAGTTGCATACTCCAGCACACCTTCAGTGTCTTTTTGTAGGTGAAACTCTTGGTCTGCTGTTGAAGAAACATCATCAAATGTCATAGATTCTCGGTTTTTGTATCTAAAAAGAGTTATCTTAACATTAAGAATTGGAGTTATAAATGCTTACAATCTCATTTTGGAAGGATGTGATTCTGAGCTATCCCCAATAATTATAATGCCTTTGAGTTTAACATTTCCTGTGAATGGGATGTTGAATAGTAATTCTTCGTCTGCGTCTGATTCCACAAACTAAAAAGAGCAAAATGGTTTACCAATTCTCTGTGGGTTCTTGGTTCTTGAGACAAGTCCAAAGATTTACATTGTTGGTGTTCGTAGGTAGTATTAGATCAGTATCTTTAATTCTTGTTTTTGCAATAATTAAGTACTTACAGTATTTCTATCTTTTCTATTCTCCCAAGCTTTAAAAATACTTCTTCCTGATCCCTCGACTGATTCATTCAGGCACACCAAATCATTGATGTTGATTTTCTTGTACAAACTGTATTGAATGCCCAGTTCAGGGTCATCGTGTTGATGGTTCGGGTCTTCGCAACATTTACCCGGAGGAGCCATTACGAATATTCACAAATTTAAATTATAAATTTGTAATTTGTTGATGAATGATGAGTTCACAAAAACAATAACAATGAAAAGTGAGGTTAGAGAATAGATGGACAAGTATCGATCGATAGTCTACCGATAGTTTGGTCTATCCAAATTTATCGATAGTAGTTATTCGCACCAATTTCCAAATTTCACCGATAAATTGACCGGTTAAATAAACCGGTAGCTGTCAAAAAATTCGGGTAAAAGTTGTGTCTGCTGAGGTTATTGGTCTAGTTACAAGATTTTTCTGATGCATTTTGGAACGTTTTGGTGTGTTGAAGTTTGGTTGTGCTGCGACAAATTAGGGAACCGGTGCCTCACAAAAAGCTGATCATTCCAGTCAATTTTGGAACGGACGATCTGGTTCAACCGGTAAAAAGTCGGTACATTTTGGGACGGTTTGGTGAGTGAGTATAAACTATTAAACCGGTATCGCACCGGTTAAGAAACCGGTGAATTTTGGAAAGTGCAAGACATTGGAGTTTTCGAATTCTATTAGGAATGGCTTCAAAATATCGATGTTTGGAATATTGATATGTTGGAATAAAAATCGACAATGCATATCGAAAGCCAAAATAATGAAGTCCGTTTTTGTTTCAAGTGAAAACAGGCGCGTTCAGCATTTTTTTTTTCTGAGCGGTGAATGAGATTTACCTTGCGTTCGGTATTTTGCTCAAAGAGCAGAGCGTGCTGAGCGGAGCCGTAATCACGTGATCAGTGAGCGAACAGAGCAGTTGAACGCTGAATAAAAGTGCCAGAAATTTCAATAAACGAACGCGAATGAGGCTGCACCGAGTACACTTTTTAAATAAACGAACGGTAAAGTCAAGCTCGGAGAACTCGGACCAAAATAACGAACGCACGGTAAGCCGTCACGCCTGAATGAGTAACGCTCATTCGGGTACAGTCGGCCTGAGTCGACGTCAGTTTTCAGCCAAGCGAGAGAAAGAAACAGTCAGCAGTAAAATGGCAGTATTGACAGTGGGTCGCGGGATAGAGAGAGAGAGATATAGTGTGATCATGATTCGAAACTTCCTTTGAATATGGCGGCAATGGTCAAACATCTGTGACAGTGGCGACAACAGCTCTTAAGCTCCGTTTACCTGCCATGTTTTGTCGAACTTATCCGATAATGTATTGATTCTTTATTGGATAGGTAATATGTAATTAATCATGTAAAGTCTGTCGATTTTAATCTGATACTCGGAAGGAATGTTAGCTGGTGGCATCCTACATTAGAACGCCAATTGTCACCTGACGTCACACCTGTTTTTGCTATATGCTTCACCCCCTCGTTCCTCATACCGCAAGTGTCAGATAAAAATTGACGAACACAATATATTTATTGTATTATTTATGTCTATACCGGGCAAGTGAACATCTTACAGGCCAATTTTGATGTAATAGAATGAAATGTCTTGAAAAAGTCTAAGGTTAAATAGAGAACGAAAACGACATTCCCATCGCACCATACTGGAGATGGAATAGGTGGATTGTGGAACAGAGGAAATCGTTTTTTCGTTTTCGTTCTCTATTTAACCTTTAGATTTTTTCTAGACTTTTCATTCTATTGCATTGAAATTGTCGTGTAAGATGCTGACTTGCTAGACCCTGTATGTACAGTCGGCGTGAGCATTAAAACCGATGAACTATAGTCAAAAACTGGAATGCAAACACATTGCCATATCTGCCAAAAAAATGTAGCCATGAAAGATAGATGCCACAAAGGGGAATGTTGTTTTTTTCTGTTGCTCGCTGACATATGACCAGGCCCTGCGATCTCTCATTGCCAGTTATAAACCACATACTCTTTTCCATTTTTCTAGATGTCGCTGACAACCACAGAATTGTCAAAATTGTAAAATACCAGCACATAAAGAACACGTCCGATGTCGATAACTGACATGTCAACATATAACAATATGTCATAATTTGATCATAACTAATAATTCATAATGTTTTTTGTTCGCCGATCTTGCATTTCATCTTTCTTTGTGTTGTCAAGTGCTCTTAAGTGATTTCAAAGTTGTTTTGTGTGTTTCAAGAAGAACTTCAAACTTTATAGATTGGAAGATCTATTTTTATCTTTGTTGATTAGATAAATGACAGGTTCAATCAATCAGAACTTTGAATAAATATGTTAAGGATACCCGTGCCTGTAGCATCGATGCAAAACCAGTAAATAGTGATTTTCCGATATGGTAGATGGCGCTGGCTTGGCTCAATTTTGTTGACAACAAAATTTACCCTGAGATTCCATTCTCGACAGTTTATATAGTGGCCGAGTTCGTTTTTGTCATCTTTTTCGTCGATTTCCTCCGAAAATTTGACAGGCACGTGATTTGTAACTTGAAACTGTTTTATCCAGACACGTGCCTGTGGTGTGGTCAAATTTTCGGAGCAAATCGACGAAAAAGATGACAAAAACGAACTCGGCCAGTATTTATCTCTGCATATGACTTTTTGGAAAGTTTTGTCATATTTACCATTTACCTTCACAGGTTTCATCAATTGGAATACGTATTGGAAGCAATTTCCGCCATTTAACATAATGAGTGCGACAAAAACAGGTATCCCCTCCGCAGCAGCGGCACTAGGCTTCACGTTCGTCAATATGTGTTCACATTCCAGTTTTTGGTTATATTTCATTGATTAAGGGCCAAATTATGGACTGACTGGTAAACGTCTGGTTGTTACCTAGCAGGTACTTTCTATGTACTAGGGAATAGAAAATACCTACTAGGTAACAACCAGACACTTACCAGTTGGTCCATAATTTGGCGCTTAAACATAGAATTGACTACAGTGCCTCTATACAAGACAGTGGCGACAATTGAGGGACCAATTTTTGATTGATTCGTGTATTTGCCGCCATCTTGTTGCAAAAACGTTCTTGTTTACATTGTTTTCATGAGAATATCGCTGTTATTTTGTGAATTTTGTGATTTTCTAATTTATTAATTGGATTCTGGGTAGTTATTATTGCTCATTATACATAGAATATTATTAATACAGAAGGTTCACGCGTGGTTACGTTGGCAAAATGGCGGCCAAAGTCTGAGACTAGTGAAAACGCTGTTTGTATTGGTCAATTATTAAAAGTGGGACACCCGACTGACAGTTCTTGTAATTTTTTGCTATTTTGGGTAAATCAGTCTTTTCTGTACAACGGATTTTTTGTCAAAAATTAATATCCTACATGTTGCCATTTCGCTTTTATAGGCGCTATCTTTTCAATATGGCAACCCTAAATTTGACACTGTCTTGATATAGCTTATGGGGTATCGTTTTATAGGTATTTCGTGTTTCACTTCCTAAATGAAATATGTGACGACATCTATTTTTGGCTGTTTAAATAGTATAGGAGTGACACTACCGTTAGGTGGTATTTAGGTATCAGAGAATCAGTCACACGCGCCCGATAAGTATCGACCTAATGTTCATTGAAATGCCACGACGCGTCGTGACACGCCATATGCACTTATCTGATAGATTTGCACTTTTATTATTTCTACGCGTTCCAAGATATTTGAAGAAAGAGATTTTACAGACTGTGTGTGAAAGTTTAGTGGAAATAGAGGGAAAGTTTGATGGAAAATTTCGAGACAAAAATTATGGTAATAGCCTCTCGTACTAGCTTAGGTTAGGTGGTTGTTGATTATAATCTTTGCTGTATACAGGGTCCCAACTATTTCATAGGGACAGCATTGGTTCCTATTTCGGGAATGGTTAAAGTTACGAGGGCGTTTAAATTAGAAAAAAGTTGCCATTTTTGAAAAATGTTAAAAATATAATACTTTTGAATTTGAACTATGTCTCTAAAATCAATAGATTTTAAGATATTTGATAACATTGTTTTTACGTATTCTCAAAAATCACCCTGTTTTTGCGAATCTAATAGAAATTTGGCAACAACGGAAATATTTTCCTAATATTCTTCAAAAATGACAACTTTTTTCTAATTTAAACGCCCTCGTAACTTTAACCGTTCCCAAGATAGCAATACTGTCCCTATGAAATAGTTGGAACCCTGTACAGGGTGGGCCAATTTGGACACTTTCTTATGGAAACACCCTTTATTTTTAGAGATAGAAAAAAATGAACCCCCCACTCTGAGGCTCAAATTTCATGAAATTTTGATTGGTGCAAACCGCATTTTGATATCTTAAACCGTTTAGCCGCTAGAGGGCGATTCTCGATTTTGAGCAATAATGTGAAACCATCATAACTTTTTTCTTTATGAAAATTAGTGATTTCCGTAAAAACTTTCTTGGAGCACTTTTTCCAGCAGAATTCAGTGACGTTCTCAGTTTTTTTCTAGTTGGTCCCAACGTCGAGATATTGACCAAAGTCTGGTTTTTTTCAATAGGACACCCTATATATTAATAGCTCATTAGAAAGCTCTGCTTTTTCTGATTTCGATGATATAAAGTTCGATAGGTTTATCTCTGACAGTTTTCGAGAAAAAAAAAATTTCGGTTTTTTTCATAAGAAGCAATGTGTAAGATTAAAAGGACTTTATATCTGTAAGGAAACTGAGAAAGGTCTCTTTCCAACACATTGTTTCCTATGACAAAAACCGAAATATTTTTTTTCTCGAAAACTGTTAGAGATAAACCTATCGAACTTTATATCATTGAAATCGGAAAAAGCAGAGCTTTCTAATGAGCTATTAATATATAGGGTGTCCTATTGAAAAAAACCAGACTTTGGTCAATATCTCGACGTTGGGACCAACTAGAAAAAAACTGAGAACGTCACTGAATTCTGCTTGAAAAAGTGCTTCAAGAAAGTTTTTACGGAAATCAATAATTTCCATAAACAAAAAAGTTATGATGGTTTCACAATATTGCTCAAAATCGAGAATCGCCCTCTAGCGGCTAAACGGTTGAAGATATCAAAATGCGGTTTGCACTAATCAAAATTTCATGAAATTTGAGCCTCAGAGTGGGGGGTTCATTTTTTTC